CAGCCCTCCTCTGCGGGCAAGCTGGGTTCAGCACGTTGAACCTGGCACACATGTTAATCAGGTCAGCAAAAGGTCCGCTTGTCCTGCTGTCTTTGGACACTTTCATCAAGGCTTTGCAGTGCGCTCTAGCGAGGCTCTCCATCACCCTTTACAAAGAAATAGTTGCCTTAAGTCGCTTACCTTCCGGCCCAGTAAAAATTATACAGCGGTTGTTACAATTTACATGCTGGCTTATAAAGTTTGCACTTAAGAAAGCGTTTTCCTCCCGACTGTTAGGGCCGTTTAATGGTGTGGGAGCCGCTCAGGGCGGCAGCTGGATAACGCAGGGCACACTTTTCACAAAGCTGATTCCCTGTGATTGCACTGTGTCTCTCACTCCTGCTCAGGGCTGTACCAAGTGTTTCATGAGTGGATGCGAATGGTCACTGACTGCCACGATGAAAGACCCCAATGCGCACCCCTTGACATCCCCACTCCCCCAGGGATGCGGGCACGGCCCTGCACTGGGACCCTCCTGCTCCCCGCAGGTGATGGTGGCAATCTTGGCACGCCGAGCACCGCTGCTAATCCCTGCCCAGCCGGGGAGGCTGCGCCAGAGACCCCCTCCCTGGGCAGCTGGAAACCATCCTCTGGTTTAGGCGTTGCCAAACACACCATGGCTGGACCTTGAGCCAGTCCCACCCTTCCATGCAATGGCTCTCCTCCCTTCCTTACCGCGGCCCTGAGTGCCTTGGCCAGATCTCACAGCACTCGCGAATCCAGAGCTCCGAGCAGATTTAGCCACTGGGAGGGGGTTAGTCCAGCTAAGCCGGCCTGCTTGAAATCGCACCGTTGTGTCTGGTAGGACCTGCTGAGATTTCGGGGCTCTCGGGGGAGGAGGCCAGCGAGTCATCGTGGTGCTCACCGAGAGCCTCCGTGCTTGGGGAGTGGTGGCTGGCGCGGGATCCCCGCTCAGCAGATGTGTTGCGTGTTTGCAGTGTGGATGTGAGCGACTGTCCTGAGAACGAGGGCAGCACCGCAGCCCTGCCCGCCGGCTCTGCCTGCCCACCGCTCGCAGGGAACCTGGGCTGCTCACCCGGAGCCTCTGCCCGCTTGCAGGCTGCGCGGCTCCTGCCTGCGCGGAGGCTGGGGCAGCGAGGCAGGGACGGAGTGTGGCTTGTAGGAGCCGGCAAGAGGCACTTTGTGTGTCCTGGGCTTCGTGGCCAGAGTGGTGGCTCTGGCCCCCCACATGCCCTGGGCTGGGGGCATTCACCGCCAGGAGGACCCAGGCTGGCGAGGGGGGGAGCTCCTTCTGGCAGCCCCTCTGCTCGGTGTTGGCATCACCAAACCAGTGCTGCTCCACGTTCTTACCAAACCCCCTGCCCCTTCAGAATGCAGATTTGTCTACTCCAAGGCTTTTTAAGCCACATTTTAAGAGCTCCTGTGATAAGCATTTTCAGTACAGCCCTTCCTGAGCACTCATTTGCTTACCCTTTAGAAATCTAATACTTGATTTAAGCACATTTCTGCTCCCTCCATTTGTAAGAACAAATGCAAAGTAATTGTTTAATATTGCAGCGGTTTCCTCAGGCTCCAACTCTAATTTCCCACTAATACAATGTTGTCAGGGGGATCAATCTATCCTGGCACATTCTGCCTCCTTGGAGTGGACTGGAAATGGCTTTTCTACTATGAGGCTGGGATTCGTGAGTCTTGCTGTGAATGTTTTTCTCCTTTAAAGGAAAAATCATACAAGAAAATATCCTGTCTTCCTGTAGATGGCCGTTAATCCCTTGCTCTCCCTCCGCCTGCCCACAGCTGGCTCTGGGTATCCTTGCTGCTGGGTCTCCCTGTGGCTCCTGCTGGATGATAGTGGAAGAGATGCAGAAAGGGGTCTATTAGATGTCCATTAATTACCAATTTTTTCCTATTAGAGCTCGCTGGGCAGTAATCAATTCCAGTAAGGCCTCTCAAACTGGTCCGTGATTGTGTTGCATCCCCACACAGCCACTGTGCATTGCTCCGAAGCATCCCCCAGACCTGTGCCAGAGGGTGCCTGGGGCTGTGGCTCCCCACAGTCACCTGTGCCCTGGTCCTGCCGGTACGGTGCTCCAGACACATCGACAAATCACCTGGGGTGTCCAGCAACCCCTCCCTAGGGAAGCCTGCGGTGCGTGCAGGGAGCACCAGAGCGCAAGGCGTGGGGAGCAGCCTTGCCCAAAACTGAGCCCCTAGTCCTGCTCAGCTGTGCCCCCTTTCCTGGGTGCTTGTCACAGCCCCCATGCCAGCGTGTCCCCAAGGTGCACGGAGCCGAACAGCTGCTCAAGCTCTGCTCAGGCTGATTCCCCCTGTTCTGCGATTGCCTTGTGCATCCCTGGCAGAAAGCACAGGTTTCAGAGCGAAACGTGTCAATAAGCCTGCCTCTGTGACCCACTAGCTCCGGGGTGGGGGTGCCTGTGTCCCCCACACCGTGGGGTGACACTGTGCCCTCCTGGGTCACAGCCGCCCTGGGAGGACCCCCCCACCCTTTTGCCACTCTCCCCAGGCACTTTCCCCATGGCCCCAGAGCTGCCGGAGGATGAGTCTGAGCGGGGCTGGCCAGGAATTGCCCTCGCTGTGCCCAGCTCTGCACTGGCAGCAGGTGGAATTGGCCTCGGAAGGGGGTTTTGTCCCCGTCCTGTCGTACCCTCGGCTGTTCTGCCACCAAGCACGTGGGGATCTAACAGCCGCCAGTGCCCTGAGCACCGGCCCTGCCACGGCACCCATGCTGCACTGGCAAATGCAGTGGGACCCTCCCAGGCCGTCCAGCCGCTCCTGGGCTGCTCCCTGCCCTGGGGAGAGGCTGGCTGCAAAATGGCATCGATGCCAGTTTGTGCAGGCATGGGGGAGAGGCTGAAGGCTCGGACTGAGATTTGGATGCTAGTGGTAAATTGCAACCTTTGACAGAAATGCCTGAGATTTCCTATGAAAATCAATAGATGATTCAAACAGTCCAGCAATTGGAAAGGCAAATAACACCACTCCAACAAGAGCAGTTATTGATATTCATGAGCAGTTCTGCTCATTACAGGGCCTGCTAACAGGTTCGTAAGATGGATTGCTGCAGGATGGGCTGGGCTATGTGTGTGCATCCACAGAGCGGGCACTCCCCTGGCAGGCCGGGACCCCACGCTGCCTCGCCGTGCCAGCGCGGTGATCACCAGCTCATCCCTGCAGCTGAGCCCTGTGGGAGCTGTGGGAGCCCCAGGCTGCCCCGGCAGCTCACGATGTGCTGAGCTGGGAGCACAGCAGTGCTGAGCCAGGAGCACAGTGATGCTGCGCCTGGCTCCGAGCGCCCGAGGATGCAGCCCATCAATCTCAGCTCCAGGTAGGATGCTGAGCTGGGAGAATTCCCTGTCCCTGAATGTGCCGGCAGTCAGAGGGCGGCTGGTCCTGGGATCAGCTCAGCAAGCTGTGGGGAGAGATGCGGTGCTCGCAGGAGGGGCAGTGATGGGGCTGGCCCCGC